GGCTCCTCCATGGCTCAGGACTTTATCCAAAACATCTTGTGCTTGATGACGAGAGGCTTTGCCTGATAGGAGCATGGCCTTTGCCCTCAGTCACAAGAGCTTGCGGTGTGGATGGACTTTGCCAGGCAGAACACTCGTGTGCTCCCGCAGCCAGACTGTGGGAGGGCAGGGAGAAGTCATCTGATAAAACTGAACATCCTGGCCAGCTCTTCCAGCAGGATTATGTTGCTTACAATTGCCAGGGGGCCCTGCTAGAACATCCCGTGTTGGAGGCTCCCCCAGCTCTTGTGTAACGATGTGCACAGCGTGAGGGTCGAGCTCAGGCTTGAGGGGAAGGCGGCAGTGGGAAAGGGCCTGGTTCCTGTGCTTCTGCCCCTGTCCCTCCAATTTTAGGCTGCTTTTGTGGACCTGATCTCAGTGCTAGGATTGGGATCTTAATGCTGGAGGGAGAAGCCTGCCAGGGTGCAGTCAGGGGCACTGGTGCTGCACCACTCCCACCACAGCAGCCAGGGGTCCCGTCTCTGCTCTGCCAGCGAGGAGCACTTGTCCATGGCATCACATCTCAGCCCCCAGTTCTGCAGTAGCACACGTGGCTGGGAGATGCAGACCCTTGTACTAACCTGTCATTTTCCTGTCTTGTCTGATTTTCAAGAGTCCATCGTAGGGAACTGCATGGACAGGAGCTCCCCCGGCCAAGCCATGCAGCTGCCTGACCACAACGGCCTGGGCTACCCCGTGCGCCCCCCGTCCAGCGAGCACCCGCGGCCCAGGACCCTGCAGAGACATCACACCATCCAGAACAGTGATGATGCCTACGTAGGTGCCCTGGCCTCCAAGGCCCTTCCAGTGGAACAGCCCAGGCTGGCTCTGGCCTGGCTCTGGTCACAGAGGGATCTGCAGGCACACCAGCCCAGCTGTAGGTCCAGCTGTGAAGGAGCTGGTCGTGGCAGCCCGGACCTCACTGCTCTGCTCCTGGGGAGGTTTGGGGTGCTGGGAACAAGTTCCACCTCAACACGAGGAAGAACTTTCCATGGAGGGTGGCAGAGCACTGGAACAGCTGCCCAGGGAGGGTGTGGAGACTCCCTTTCTGGAGACATTCAACCCCCACCTGGACATATTCCTGTGTCATCTGCTCTAGATGACTGTGCCTTGGCGGGGGGGTTGGATAGGTGATCTGCAGAGGTCCCTTTCAACCCCAGCTATTTTGTGATTCCGTTAGTTCAGAGGGATTTGGACTGTTCAGTCCATTCTCCTGTTGAGGGGACACTGGCTGCACCCAAGCTGTGCCTGATGCACAGTTCATGTCCTTCTGAACCCTCACCGAAGTTTTGCAGAAGCTTCCTGGTCAGCTTGTCTGAGAGCTGGGGTGCAGGTGGGAGGAACTGGGGCGCCTCTCCCCAGCCCCCCCTTGACGTGTGTCCTGTGTTCTCCCCAGGTGCAGTTAGATAACTTGCCTGGAATGAGTTTAATGGCAGGAAAAGCACTAAGCTCTGCTCGCATGTCGGACGCCGTGCTCAGCCAGTCGTCGCTGATGGCCAGTCAGCAGCTGCGCGACAGGGACAGCGAGGGTGAGGCTGGGCAAGCTGCAGACGCGGCACCGGGGGGGCTGGGGGGCTCCTCAGGGTCTGGGTGGGGGGCTGAGAGGACCAGCCCCTGGTCTGTGTTGCAAAGCCACCTCTTCTTTGCAGAATGTGGGGAGAGTTTGGAAGGTCAAGAGCACCCCAACCTGGGCGATGGCAGCCAGCACCTCAACACCTCCTGTTACCCCTCCACGTGTATCACGGATGTCCTGCTGAGCTACAAGCACCCAGAGGTGCCCTTTGGGATGGAGCAGGCGGGGGTGTAACCAGGAGGGAGTGAGTATCTGTGTTCTCTCTCTCACACACTTCTGGGGCTGCCTTCACGGCCTTGCTTCCATGGGTCTCCTTCCCTGCTTGTTGCTCCGGTGCTGGGGATGGGACCATAAACTCTGAGCTCCTGTGCTGGGGCTGTTTGCTGTCCCCCTATTTGTGCAGGGCAAACACTCCTCCTTCCAGGCCTGTGCTGTTTCCAAAACCCCTTTCCTGGGGCAGGGCTAGGAATGGAATGTGTTTGCTGGAGGGCTGTGGGAGCAGAACTTTCATTCTGGTGTCTGCTGACGTCTCTGTTTCTCCTCTCTTGCAGGGTTTGTGTACAGCTTTGAAACGAAAAGGTCCATTTTAAACCAACAGTATCTAGCAGCATTGCGCCAAATTGCCGTAGTATTTCTGACTAACTGGAATACCATGGCCCCTTTCCTCATCCTCACCTCATCCAGTGTGTCGTTCCTTTGGGTTCTTTAATTTCTGCCACACTTGCCTGTAACTCCAGCTCCCACCGAACAACCAGAGACCTGAGCCTGGCGCGGCAGCGGAGGATCGGTGGAGCCTCGGCACTGGGGCTGCTCTGGGGGCTGTCACTGCCGGGGCTGAGCCTCCCTGAGGAGTCCAAGGGGACTGGAGCCACTCCTGGATGGAGCCTGTGCTGTCCTTCCCCTCTGTCCCGCTGCACTGGGGGAATCTGAGCCTGGGGCCCTCCCCATCCCACCTGGGGCTCCGGCTGGTGCGGGGAGCTCCCACCCTGGTGCAATGCGCTTCTTGTCTCATCTCTGTCTGCTCTGTTCCCTCTTGTGTGCCGGGGTGCTGAGGATCACCCCTTCCCTGCCCTTTCTCCCCCTCTTCTTTCCAAATCCGCCACGACTTGGGGTTTTTTTCTTTTCCTGGCTAATGTAGAGCAGACGGATTTTTCTTTGTTTCCTTTGCTTCTCCTTCTGATCACGTAGGAATTGGGTTTTTTTTTTTTTGGTAAATGTTGTTTTATTATTATTGTTATTAATAAAAGGCAAAAGGAATTTCTGTTTGAGAGAAATTTTTAACTAGATTCTGTTCTATATGAATTGTGACTTGCACCTTTTGTTCAAAGTATTTTATTTCTTTTAACGACATTGTACTTGTGACTGGTTTTCTCTCGTGCCAGTGGCGACAGTGGTAATTCTCCTTATACAGCTGGGACGTGCAGAGGTCTCTTCTTTGTCCCTTTTCCATCCTTTCCTTGGTGGATAGAGTGGGAATCCCCCCCACCGGGGCTCTGGAGCACATGGTGTCACCCTTGCCTTTGGGACCTGACAAGCTCCTGCTCAGATCCTTCTCACTGACACTTTTCTGGAATATTTTATAAAACTAAAGGAAAAATCGGCCCAGCCCTCCTGACTTTGCACAGAAGGAAGTGTGAAACCAGCACAGCAGAGGTGACTTTGCTATCCTTACCCGTGCCTCTTCCCGGCCTCCCCTTCTCCGGGAAAACAACGCTAGTGGCTCTGCAATCCCGAAAACCAGAGAGGAGGGAAGCTCCGCAGCCCGGCCGCGCGCGGCCCCTCGCCTGGCACCTGCGGGCTCGGGCAGGGGGCGCGGGGAGCCCGGCGGGAAGGGTGGGAAACACGGAAAGCCTTTTTGCTCTGTCCCTTTGGTTTGTTTTCCTTTTGTTTACATGACACTGTATCCTGGGAGAGTCGCCGGGGCCCCCCCCAGCAGCCGCCGCCCCGCAGGGCCGCACTCACCGTGCCATCCGCAGTATCACACTTTTTTTATCATGGCTTTGTATTGTAGTAATCAATACGCGCAGTATATGTTGAATGTATATTAATATACTTTGCTATTATTTCTGTTTTTTGGAAATGTCAGAAGTATTTTTTTTTTTCCTTCCTCATTTATGTTGGACTAAAACAAAACAAACAAACAAAAAAAAAGTTTCAGTAAATCTTCAGTCCATTTTTTTGTGGGTCACTTGCAACTAGTCAATTAGTTGGACAGTGGGATCATAACAAATAAAACCATGATTATGATCTTCCCTGGGCTCTTGTTTGCCTTGTTGCTCAATGTCAAAGCTCAAGGGGCAGCAGCGCGGCCGCGCTCGAAGCTGCCGTGTCCCCAGTCCATCTCAGGGGCTGTCACCTCCCCTGGGCTCCAGCTCCTGCTCTGGCTGGGTTTCCCAAAGCCCCCATGGCACTCAGCTCCACTGCAGCGCCAGAGCTCAGCAGAGCCCAAGTCATCCTGCGAAGGATGTGGGTGTGGGCAAATGCCTGCAGATCAAACCCTGCTGGGGGGCAATTCCTTCCCCAGCCAGGCTTTCCCAGGAATGGGTAGAGTCTGGGAGGAGCAGGAAGCTGTGCCTCCAGCACCCTGCAGCGTTGCAGGGGATGGCTATACCTGTGCAATGCCCATGAAGTGCCCAGTGAGCAGCTCCAGAGCTTGAGGCTTCTCAGAGCTGGTGCCACTCCAAAACAGGGAGCATCACTCCTCTATAGCAGCTCCCCATGGCATTCCCAGCCCTGCTGGCCACAGGCTCCCCACAGCCCTGTTTGGGGATGTACCCCCTCTCTCCCTGTCCCCATTGCCAGGTGCTTCTCCCAGGCTCGGTTCTTGTGGGTCCCTGGGCTGGTGGCAGTGGGGTGAGGGAGCACCTCGAGCTGAGGGGGTTTTGGGGTGGCCGTGCTGGGGTGTTGGGGTCAGGCTGGTGCTGACTCTGAGCTCAGCCTTTGCTTTGCTGCCTGGGTTTCCAAGGAAGGCTGGTGTGAGTGGACAGGGCACAGCTCCTGGGACCTCTGCGCTGGGGACACAGCAGGAAAAGGGGTGACATGAGCAGTGTGGTCTCACCGGCCCGATGAAGGATGGGGGACAGACAGACCCCCAGTGCAGGCAAGGGGTCTGGGTACGGCAGGACAAATCCCTGCGGGAATAAACCTTGTCCCTGGGCCTCGGGCCAATCCCTGGGGGCTGCGAGAGGCCCCGGCAAGGCCGCAGCGGCCAGCAGGAATCTGGGTCAGCGGGAGCGTAAACAGGCTCCTTGGCCAGCGAGGCGCGTCCCGCCGGGAGCTCCTGTTTGCTCGCCGCCCCTGCCAAGCCGGCGCTCCTCGGCGCTGGGCTGCGCGATCCTTGAACCCTGCGCGCCACATCGCCCGCCGGGAGCGAGTTCTTGGGCCGCCGCGCTGGCTTATCTCCGCGGAACTGCCCCTCCGGCATAAATAGCGGCGGCGGAGCCTCGGCCGCTCAGACGGGACGAGCAGCAGCGCCAGAGATTGCTGGTAAGGGCCTGGGCTGCTCCAGAGGACCCGCGGTGCCGCACGGACAGCATCCTTTGCTTCCCACCCTCCAGCTTCGCCCGCGGCACCGGCGGGGACCCCTCGAGCCGGGCTGGGGGCTCAGCTCCCCCGGGGGCTGCGCTTGCCGCGGCTCCCTGAGCCCAACTCCCTTCTGCCCCCAGGTTCAGCGCGAAGATGAGAGCCGTGGTGTTGACCCTCGCCCTGCTCTGCCTGACGGGTAGGTCCGGACGGGGCTGGGGCGCCGGCGGCTGCGAATCCCCGCGGGATGGAGCGGGACGGAGCGGGACGGGGCGGCCGAGCCCGATGCGGGCGCTGCTGGAAGCCTCCGGCTTCCGAAGCGCTTTGCAAGTCAGGCTGGAGCCAAGGGACTCCTCGGTCCCCTCCTGAGCCGGGCAGGACCCCGGCAGGGCTGGAGCCGTCCCCGCTGCGGTCCCGCCGGCACCGGGCAGTGTGTCCTGAGCACATCCGGCTGTCTCCGTAGGCACCCAGGCCCGCTCCCTCTGGCAGCAAGATGATCCCCAGGCGCCCCTGGATCGCCTCAAGGACATGCTGGATGTGTACCTGGAGACAGTGAAGGCCAGCGGCAAGGAAGCCATCTCCCAGTTCGAGGCCTCTGCCGTGGGCAAACAGCTGGAGTAAGTGGGGGGTGTGTGGCAGGGGCTGGAGGGGGGTCCCCGGGTGCCGTGTGTGACCTCCCTCTGCTCCTGCAGCCTGAAGCTGAGTGAGAACCTTGACACCCTGGGTGCAGCCGCCGCCAAGCTCCGTGAGGATGTTGCCCCCTACTACAAGGAAGTGCGAGAGATGTGGCTGAAGGACACCGAGAACCTGCGCAAGGAGCTGACCAAGGACCTGGAGGAGGTGAAGGAGAAGATCCGGCCCTTCCTGGACCAGTTCTCTGCCAAGTGGACGGAAGATCTGGAGCAGTACCGCCAGCGCCTGGCCCCCCTCGCTCAGGAGCTGAAGGAGATCAGCAAGCAGAAGGTGGAGCTGCTGCAGCAGAAGCTGACCCCCGTGGCTGAGGAGGCGCGGGACCGGCTGCGTGGGCACGTCGAGGAGCTGCGCAAGAACGTGGCACCCTTCAGCGATGAGCTGAGGCAGAAGCTGAGCCAGAAGCTGGAGGAGATCCGTGAGAAGGGCATCCCTCAGGCCGCTGAGTACCAGGCCAAGGTGATGGAGCACCTCAGCAACCTGCGTGAGAAGATGACGCCCCTGTTGCAGGACTTCAAGGAGCGCCTCACCCCCTACGCCGAGAACCTCAAGGTCCGTGTCATCACCCTCCTGGACGATCTCCAGAAGAGCATGGAGCTGCAAGCCTGAGCCCAGCCCCGCTCCCACAGCTGCCCCGGGGTGCTCCCTGCCGTGCCCTGGGTGCTTCCTCTCGGGGGGCTCTGGGGATGGGCTGCTGGAGCCCTGGGCCAGCCCAGCCCCAGGGTGTCCTCCCCAGAGACCTCCTCCTCTCCTCCCTACCCCCTCTCCTCCCCTCTTTGGCGTCACTCTCAGCTTTGCCTCCCTTTTGTCAAATAAACATGACTTAAGTTATTGGAGCTCGCTCAGTCTTTGCAGTGGATGCTGGAGGGGAGAGCCTGAACTGGGGTTGGGGGCAAGGGGTGCTCCGGGCTGGGGGTACTGGAGAACCCAAGAGGGAATGGGGGGACAGGGAGCTGGTGTTGGCATACCCTGGGCTCACTCTGTACTGAGCCCAGCTCTGCCCAGGGTGCAGCCAGGACTGGACCCGCACAAAGGGCTCTGCAGGGCGCTGGCACTGGGTTTGCAGAAGCTGGAGCCTCTGGATTGTGGAAGCAGAACCCGGCTCTGGCCGCCCTGGGCACCCTGACAAGGCCGTGTGTAGGCCCGGTGCCGGTGCCTGTCCCAGCCCTCCCTCTCTCCACGGCTCACACTCCTCCCCATCCCCACAGTGATGTCACCACAGCCATTTGCTTCAGCCCCACTTTATTGAGAGAACCATGACAGCAGGTGGGAACCAGGGGGACCCCAGCCCAGTGAGACCCCAACCAGTCCCCTGTGGGGTTACACGGTCGGTCTGTTCTTCCAGAGCTCTGCCAGCTGCTCCTTGAGCCAGACCAGGCTCTGCTTCGCCAGCTCCGCGTTGTCCACCAGCCACTGCCTGTGAGGGGAGGGAGGGATGGGGATCAGTGCGGGCCCAGACAGGCTCCCCACCGGCATTGGGGGACAGGACTGGGCTGGGGGCACTCGGGAGCACCTGGCCTGCTGTGCTGCCTCTGACTCCCGCACCCTGCTGAAGGCGTCCTTGGCCATGGCCGAGGCTTTCTGGGCGAGCTCCTGCACCTTCTGCACCAGCGCCTTGGACTCCTCGGGCGTGTCGGCCCCTGCGAGCAGGAATCAGTTGGGAGTGGGGGGACGGGGCCCTGGGGCTGTGCCTCCCCCCGGAGTGTGCCCCAGCACCCTCCTCCCGCACAGCCCTCGCTGTCCCTTACTTGCTCCCACTGCCAGGACGGCCGTGCAGGCGAGCAGGAGCAGCAGTGACGCCTTCATGGCTGGGGAGAGAGCAGAGCACATGGTGAGGGGTGGCAGGGGGGGCCACAGGGGTCCCAACCCCGACCCTGTCCCCTTCCCAGCATGATCCTCACCAGGGGTGTTCCCACTCACCTGTGCCGGGCTCTGCGACGCAGGGACAGCCCCAGGCTCCCCCTTTATACCCTCCCCACGGCCGCCCTTGAGGGGGTTTGTGCAAAGGTCAGGGCAGGGGGCTGGCCGAGAGCGGGGCACTGCGGGGGCTGCAGGGGGGCTGCATCGGGCCAGGAGTTGGGAAATCCCGCGGGGACGGAGCCTGCTGGGGCTCCGTGTGTGTCTGTGTGTGCACGTACCTGTGCACACGTGTGTGTGTGTGTGTGTGTGTGCACACGCGTGTGCAGCCAGCCCGGTGCCCGCTGCAGGGCACAGCGCGGTGACTGCAGCCCCGGGGACACGCCTGGGGCCGTGGGCACACACGGCACAAGGGTGACATCCAGCGGCCTCGGCCCTGCTCGATGCCCTCGGGCACCGCGGGAGCCCTTTGGACCTTGTCCCTGCCACTGCCCGGCCGGTCCCTGCCCCTGCCCGCGATGACACATCGCGGCTGCTCTGCAGCCCGAGCGGGGCCCCAGGGTGTGGGTGGGCTGAGTGGGTGCAGGGCTGCACCCCAGGGGTGTGCCAGGAGCCCAGTGCCCACAGCCAGCGACACACAAGGCCCCCACTCCTTTCCCAGGCACTCCAGCACCCCGTGGGGCTCCTGCAGGGTCCTGACCTGTTCCTCTGGCAGGGCTTCCTTCAGGAGCCTGGACTGGGAAGGAGCAGTGCCATCCTGCACATACACAGCCTTGTGAGCCCCCAGCTCCATCACAGCATCTCCTTGAGCCTGCGTCCTGCCCTGCTGCCCATCCCAGGCACAGCACAGTTGGTGGTAGGGCTGGGGGGTCCCCTCAGTGTCCCCCAGACCCCATGCCCTGTCCCACCATCACACACCCCAGTTACCACCCCACACCATGGATACTGCACAACTGGCACCAGCACAGCCACCATGGCATCCCACAGAGCAGTGAGCTGTCCCCTCTGCCCAGGGTCCCCATCCTCAGGAGGGGCTCAGCCCCCACGTGCCCTGTGTACTCCCAACCCCCTCTGCCCAGGCCCTGGCACCTTGCTGGGAGCTGGAGGGTTCAGCGGGGCCACGGGTGATGTCAGGGCTGCAGGTGATGTCAGGTCTGCGCACACATCAGGTGGTTCCACGTCTCAGCTCTGCTAAAGTCCAAGCCTGGGGCTGTGTCACAGCCTGCGTGGAAGCCGCGGGGGTGCTCAGGCTGCATAAATAGCACGGGGAGCTGCCGGCTCGGCAGGTACCACGGCCGTGGCAGCACAGGTGAGCAGCTGCAAGGGCTGGAGAGAGCCAGTGCCTCCATCGCCTGTGGTGGAGCAGATGGCAGGGGGTTGGGGGGTTCCCAGCCTCTGGGGCTCCCTTCACCTCCTCTCTGTGTTTCTGCAGGAGTCCCCAGTGCTCAGGATGGCGCCCAAGGTGGCAGCCCTTGTCCTGGTGCTCCTCGCAGTCTCAGGTGAGGTGGCATGGGTGCTCGCAGGGGGGTCCTGCCCCGGGCAGCAGTGGGGACCTGCTGTTCCCGGGGCAGTAGGATTGTCCTGGCGCTGATCCCACCATCCCCTTGCAGGGGCACGGGCTGACGTGAACCCCGATGAGGTGGCCAGTGTGATCTGGAAGTACTTCACGGAGCTGGGCAGCAATGCCAAGGAGACAGTGGACCAGCTGCAGCAGACCGAGCTCACCAAGCAGATCAAGTGAGCTGAGCCACGGGCTGAGGCTCAGGGGGGCTCAGGGGATGCCGGGGGGCACATGGGCACTGACCTGTCCCTTCTCCCCAGCACCCTCCTGAAGACCAACCTGCAGAGCGTCAGCGCCTACGCCGAGGACCTGCAGGAGCGGCTGGTGCCCTTCGCCACCGAGCTGCAGGCGCGGCTGGCGCAGGACTCGCAGCGGCTCAAGGAGCAGATCCGGCGGGAGCTGGCGGAGCTGCAGGCCAAGCTGGTGCCCTACGCCGACGAGGTGCACCAGCAGATCGGCACCAACATCCGCCAGCTGCAGGCCAAGATGAGCCCCTACGCCGAGGAGCTGCGCTCCCAGGTGGACCGCGGGGCTGGGGAGCTGCAGCGGGCGCTGGAGCCCTACGTGGTCGAGCTGCGGGACCGGCTGCAGGACAACGCCCAGAGCATCCAGGCCTCCCTCAGCCCCTACGCCGACCGGCTCCAGCAGCAGATCGACGGTGGCGTGGAGAGCCTGAAGGAGCGGCTGGCGCCCATGGCCGACGAGCTGAAGGCACAGGTCGGGCAGAGCGTGGCAGAGCTGCGGCGTGGGCTCAGCCCCTACGCCCAGGAGGTGCAGGACGGGCTGAACCGGCAGCTGGAGAGCCTGACGGCGCAGATGGAGCGGGCGGCCGAGGAGCTGCGCGCCCGCCTGGCCACCAGCTCCGAGGAGCTGCGTGCCCAGCTGAGCCCGCTGGCGCAGGAGCTGCGGGAGGTGGCGAGTGGTGACACCGAGAGCCTGAGGCAGCGCCTGGGCCCCCTGGCCCAGCAGCTGGAGCAGCGCGTGGGGCAGACGCTGGAGGCCTTCCGGCAGCAGGCGGCTCCCTTCGGAGAGACCTTCGGGAAGCAGCTGGTGCAGCAGCTGGAGGAGATGCGCGGGAAGCTGGACTCGGGCACCGCCGGAGTGGAGGATCACCTGCAGCTGCTGGAGAAGGAGGTGCGGGAGAAGGTGTCCGCCTTCCTCAGCACCATCCCGCCCCCCGAGAAATGAGCCCCCCTCCCGGTGCCGTGGGGAGGTGACACGGGGTGGCCGGCCATCCCCACACACTCCAAGCACTCCCAGAAATAAACCTTGTGATGCACCTCTTGGTCCGTGTCCTTCCTTCCCCACAGGATCCTGCTGTCCTGCCCCAGGATGGGCAACCTGGGCCGCCCGGCCCAGCCGCTCTGAGGGGGGAACATCACCCCGAATGTTCTGGGGAACCTGGGAGAGGGAGCAAAGGTGGGGGCAGAGGGGTGGGGGGCTCAGGGCTGGCCGCAGGTGGTGGCAGCCAGATGGGCCAGCATGGGACCAGGGCCCTGCCATCACCTCGCTGGGGTGCCAGAGCAGCTGGGGGGCACCCAGGGGGCTCCAGAGGGGCAGGGCCCCGGGATGCAGCTGAGCACCCCCACTGTGCCACGGGATTCTGCGGGCCGTGCCGAGGCCGTGCCTCAGGGAGAGGAAAAAGGGACTTGAGCGATGGCCACGGCGAGCCCCTCGAGCCATTGTGGTGGCGGGAGCGCGGGGTGGGATGGGAAGGGAAGGGATTGGGATGAGGCTGGAGCACGGCCAGCGCTGCCTGGAGCGACCTCACGCGTTCGCCCAGGCGAGGAGGGAACCGCGCGGATTTCGGCGACTGCTCGGCGTTTCACCCCGGGAGCGTCGGACTTCGCCCCCCACCCACGGTGCCCGTTCGTATTCCCGGCGGAGAAACAGCCGAGCAGGGCGCGCTGGGTGCCCGGCGGGAGCGGCGGCCCCAGGAAAGGCGTGCTCTGTGCTCCCTACCTGGGCTGACGACACCGCTCATCCCTGGCACCCTTCCCTGGCACAGCCGGAGCCGGGCTCACCCTCCCACGCCCATCCCGGGGGTCCAGGCTCCCTTTGCAGCCCCTCGGCAGAGCCCGCAGCCGGCGTGCCCGTCCCCGCTGCCCCGGCAGTTCCAGCGGCATTCCCTGCGGGATGCGCAGGGCGGCTGCGGGGCAGGGGCAGCGCCGTCCCGGAGCGCGGGGGGCCGCGGGCGCTCAGGTGACCGTCCCCCGGGTCACCTCCCAGGAACGTGCGCGGACCTCCACGTTGTGTTTACACGGAGTGAGGTCCAAAAAGCCTCCCTGTGCCGCAGGGCCTTATCGCCCGCTCCCCTGCTCCCCCCGGACCTATATAAGGGCCGGCTCCCGTGGGAGGGACGCGGGAGGCACCGGGACTCAGGTGAGGGACGGGGGCTCCTGGTGTCTGGTTCGGCTTTGTGCGGCCGGAGGAGCCGGGGGTGAGTCCGGAGGTGCACAGCGGTGGGGACCCCAGGTGATATGGGGACTCCAGGTACTATGGGGGACCCCGCATGTTTGTGGGGAGACCCCAGGTGTTGCAGGGTGTGAAGCAGAGGCACCACCACCCTGCGAGCACTCGGTGGAGCAGCCTCTCCCCTCTGTCCCGTCTCTCCCGCAGCCCCGCAGAGCCCGGCCCGGCAGACCATGCTGCTGAAGGCTGCGCTGCTCCTCTCCCTCCTGGCTGCCTTCCCAGGTGGGTGTGGGCACAGGGGCTGGAGGGGCGGCAGCACCACGGGCACCCCGCTCACGCCACCCTCCCACCCGCAGTGTCACCGGCCCAGGCGGGGCAGGGCGGCTTCTGGGAATACCTGAGCCAGCTGACACGGGACAAGGACAGCCTGGAGCACGGCCACGGCAAGCTGGGCAAGGACATCACGTGAGTACAGTGCCCTGGGGTCCCCCAGCACACCTGGGGCTCCGTTTCTCTGCCCCTGGGGGCACAGAAGCTCACGGGAGCGAGTGTTGGTGGGTGTTGGTGTTTATTAGGGGGGAGTGTGGGCGCAGGGGGGTGCTGTGGTCAGTCAGGGGTGCTTGGTGACTGTCTCCTGCAGGAACCTGAAGGAAAGCATTCAGGATGGGGTCAGCTACATGGGAGACTTCCTGGGGAAGCTGTCGCCCCTCGCCAGGGGCCCGCAGCCCCGGCTGTCGCAGGACTCGGAGAGCCTGCGGAAGGTCCTGCGGAGGGAGCTGGAGAGCCTGCGGGTGAAGCTGTCCCCGTACGTGGACGAGGTGCACCACCAGGTCGGGAAGCAGCTGGACGAGCTGCGGCACCGGCTGCAGCCGTTCACGGAGGAGCTGCTGGACGAGGTGTCCCTGCGGGCGCGGGAGCTGCGGCGGCAGCTGCTGCCCAGCCGGGAGGTGACGGCGCAGCTCCTGGAAGGGGCCGGCGAGCTCCAGCGCTTCGTGGCCCACTACGCCGACAAGATCGCCTCGCACACGGAACAGGTGAAGGACATCTTCCAGCCGTACGCCGACAGGCTGGTCACCGAGATCCACCGCAACGTGCAGGAGCTGCACCGCTCCGTGGCCCCGCACGCCCGCGCCACGCCCGAGCAGCTCAACCGGCACATCCAGGAGCTGTCGGCCAAGCTGACCCGCAACGCGCGGGACCTGCACCGCCAGATCCAGAGGAACCTGGAGCAGCTGAAGGCGAAGCTGAGCCTGTACCCCGAGAGCCTCGGGGAGCCCCCGGCCCCCCCCGGCCGGTACCGGGAGGCGCTGGCGCGGGAGGTGCAGCGGCGGGTGGAGGAGTTCCGGCGGGACACCTACGTCCAGATCCAGGCCTTCACGCGGGCGCTGGACCAGGAGACGGAGGAGATGCGGCTGAAGCTCAGCGCCCGCCCGGACCCGCCGGAGGAGCCGCGGGACGCGCCGCCGCCGCCCGTGGAGGACCTGCGGGCCCAGCTGGACGCGCTGTGGAGGGAGCTGGCGCTCAGCCTGGGCGGGGAGGCGGGCGGGGCGCGGGCCGGGGCGGGGGCCGCGGGGCCGGGCCGGGATGAACCGCAATAAAGGCGCCGCCACCGCCGCCATGACAGCACGTGTCACGTGACCGACTGGGCACGTGACAGCCGCGACACGTGAGCGCCGCGCGAGGCGGGGCCGCGCCGCCATGTCGGCGCTGGGGGCGATGGAGCCGGGCCCGGGGGGGTCCCTGTTCCGGCCCCTCAGCGCCGAGGACGGCGAGCAGCAGCCCGCGGAGATCGAGTCCCTCTGCATGAACTGCTTCCGCAACGTGAGGGGGCGGGGGGAGCTGGGGCTGGGCCCCCGTGCGGGCTCTGCGGGGGAGCAGCTCGGGGCTCTGCGGGGCTCGAGGTGCGAGCTGGGCAGAGGCTTGGCGGGGGGGACAGGGGGCTGCAGGGATGGGGGTCTGGGTGCAGGGACCCCGGTACAGGGCTCTGCAGGAGCAAGGGAGGGATCCACGGGGGCCACAGCTGGTCCCGGGGCAGGGAGCACTGCTGGGATGTGGAGGGGAGCGGGTGGGAGCGGGTGGGGGAGAGGAGGTTGGGGGTGTGGGATCCGTGAGCTGCCCCCGCTGGGAGGGGCTGACAGGGATGTGGGGCCTGCAGGACACTGCCCTGAGGGTTCGGGTTCCCACGACAGGGAGTGACGCGGCTCCTGCTCACCAGGATCCCCTTCTTCAAAGAGATCATCGTCAGCTCCTTCTCCTGCGACAGCTGCTCCTGGTCCAACACGGAGATCCAGTCGGCGGGCAGGATCCAGGAGCAGGGCGTGCGCTACGCCCTGGCCGTCACCTCGCGCCAGGTGAAGGGCAGGGGGGCTGCCCTGTGCACACCTTTGCCCCTCACTGTCCCTCACAGGCTGGTCTGGCCCCAGCCACAGAGTGTTTATCTTCCCTGCAGTTTGGGAAATAGCTTTGTTTGTTTGGCAGTAACTGTTCCAAGCACAAAACATTCCCTTCCCAGTGGAGAGGGGGCTCCAAGGAGCCAATGCTGCTGCACAGCCCAGTGTGGGAGCCCCTGGATCTCTTGGGGATCCTAATGCTGTTCCCAACGGTGTACACAGGACATGAACAGGGAGGTGGTGAAGACTGACTGTGCCACGGCTCGAATTCCAGAGCTGGACTTCGAGATTCCTGCCTTCTCCCAGAAGGGAGGTGGGTGCCGTGCCCCCCGGCTCAGAGCTGTGCGAGGAGGGGGCTGTGGTGTGTGAACGGTGCCGTCACCTCCGTGTCCTTCCCCTCCCCAGTGCTCACCACCATCGAGGGGCTCATTGACAGAGCTGTGGCAGGCCTGGAGCAGGACCAGCCCGTGCGCAGGGTGAGGTGCTGGGGAAGGGGGAGCTCCTCAGGGATGGCAGATCCTCGGGTTGATCACCCCCTGCAGCAGCTGGACCCGGTGACCTCGGAGGTCTCCTCCACCCTGAAGGGTCCTGTGATCCCCTGTCCTCTTGCAGGCGACAGACCCGGAGGTGGCCGGGAAAATAGACGAGTTCATTGGGAAGCTGAGGCAGCTGAAAGAAGGGAATTCCCCCTTCACCTTCGTGAGTGCACACAGAGGGAGGCCCTGTCTGGCACGGGGAGTGCAGGGCGGCTCCCTCAGGCTCCCTTTTCCCGCAGATCATCGACGATCCCTCGGGGAACAGCTTTGTGGAGAACCCCCACGCGCCGCGGCGGGACGAGGCCCTCGTGGTCACCCACTACAGGAGGACCCCCCAGCAGGCTGCTCTGCTGGGACTGGAGGTGGCTGGGGGCTGCTGGGCTGCGTGCTCTCAGCCTGGGGAGCAGGGCTGATGAGTCCCTCGTTCCCTGGGAGCCCCCAGATTAGGGAACCCGCTTCTCTTGCAGGGGGAGGAGGTGGATGCGAAGCCACCTGATGCTGCAGAGGATCTGAGGGACGAGGTGGGTGATGCTGCAGTGCAGAGGGGACACCCAGGAAGGGTGTTCTGGGCTGGCCAGGACATCCTGACCCCAATTTCACTTGCCCTGCTGCAGGTCCTGCAGTTCAACACCAACTGCCCCGAGTGCAACGCCCCGGCCAGCACCAACATGAAGGTGGTGCGTATCCTTTGAGGGGGTGGGCGTGGGTGGGGGTCCCTGTGCTGACCTGGGCTCTTCCTGCTGCACCTGGGTGGATTCTCCAGGATGCAGAGCTGTCCCAGGCCGCTCACAGCGAGCTCCTGCAGTGCCTCGGGAGGGACCGGGGTGCTGCCTTGGGGTTTTCCTTGACTGTCCGCTCCAGAAATCCCACACTTCAAGGAAGTGATTATCATGGCCACAAACTGCGACTCCTGTGGGCACAGGACGAATGAGGTGAGCTGGATAAACCCTCCTAAAGCATCGAGGTGTGATTGGAGTGTGAGTTCCATGGAGCTGACTGCCAGCTGTTCCCAGGTGAAGTCTGGAGGAGCGATTGAACCGCAAGGCACCAGGATTACCCTCCGGATTACGGACCCTTCCGACATGACAAGGGACATCCTGAAGGTAACAGTGCCCTTGGATACCTGCCCTGTCCTCCTGTGGAGGCTGTGGGGAGTCCAGGGGGCCCAGCCATCCCTCCGTGGGGACTCACAGGGTGTTCACCTTCACAGTCTGAGACGTGCAGTGTGGAGATCCCAGAGCTGGAGTTTGAGCTGGGCATGGGAGCACTGGGGGGGAAGTTCACCACGCTGGAGGGGCTGCTGAAGGACATCCGTGACCTGGTGAGTGTGCTGTGCCAGCCTGGGGGGGCTCAGCCCCCTCTGGGCCCCTGTTTGGGCTGGCTCTGGTTCTGGCTGCCTCACAGGTGCTCCCCTGCCCTTCCAGGTGGAGAGGAACCCCTTCACTCTGGGGGACAGCTCCACGCCCAGCAGGACGGGGAAGCTGCAGGAGTTCATTGGGAAGCTGCAGGAGGTGAGTGTGCTCTGGATTCCCACCCTCTGCCAGAAGTGCTGAAGGGTTAGGAGGAGCCTTGGTGGCTGGATCTATTCTCTTCCTGCAGATCATAGATGGGAAGACCAAGGCTCATTTCATCATGGATGACCCTGCAGGCAACAGCTACCTCCAGGTACAGCCCTGGGCCCTGGGAGGGGTCTCTACTCCCCTGGGGGTGTTGGGGGCAGGGTGCCCCAGCCTTTGGAAAGAGGGCAGTGCAGGAGGTTTCCCCTCTCCCCACAGAACGTGTACGCCCCGGAGGAGGACCCGGAGCTGAGGGTGGAGCGCTACGAGCGCACGTTCGAGCAGAACGAGGACCTGGGGCTGAACGACATGAAGACGGAGGGCTACGAGCCTGAGGATGCCTCAGGCCGGTAGCAGGGGGTGCAGCCCGACCCCTCCAGACCCTTCCCCAACCGCTCCAGGGACAAGGACTTTTCTGGGGCCGGGACTCTTCTCCCCTTCCTGGGAGGCGGGAGCTGCTCCAGGCCGAAGGCAGCGGGGCTGGGCCTCGGAGCCTCCCTGCGGGAGGCGTTATGCTGATGTGTTGGGGCGGGGGGGGGTGTGTGCTGGATATCGGGGCCGCGACCCCCAAATAAAGGAGTTTGGATAAAAATTCGTGGACGAAACGAGGGAGGCGCCGTATCCCGGCATGCCCTGCGCGCGCTCCATTCATCAGCTCGGCCCCGCCCACAGATCAATGGAGGGCGGGATCACTGTGTGGCCACGCCCCTCGCCCCGCCCCGCAGTATATATACCGCAGCCCCGCCCCTTGGCGCGGTTGTTGCGCGTCAGCGGCCGCGATGGCGGCGCCGGGGGTGTCCAAGGCCGAGTACCTGCAGCGCTACCTGAGCGGCCCCGCCGCGCCCGGCCCGCCCCGCCGCCGCCGCAGGAAGAGACCGCCGGGCGGCACCGGCAGGGCCGGGTGAGTCCCGGGGGGGAAGGGGGCGGCGCGGCCTGCGGCGGGCACGGGTTCCCAGAATCACCCCGGAACCCCGCCCTGGGCTCCCCCTCGCGGGGCCCGGACGCTCCTCACGGCGTTCCCGCTCGCAGGATGCGGATCGTGGATGACGACGTGAGCTGGAACAGCATCGCCGCCGCGCCGCAGAAGGAGGAGGAGGAGGAGGACGAGGCGGACATGCCTGTGGTGAGCCGGCGGTTTCGGACGCTGAGTCCCTTCTGTCTCCCTCTGGGAAGCACCTGCCAAACCCCTCTCCCTGCCCCGGCGCTTGGTGGGCTGTGCTGCGGGGAGGGGTGCCCTGGAGAGCCGTGTGAGCTCAAAGGAGCCTGTTCTTTATGGCCCTGAGTTGTCCAAGAGCACAGCGGTTCTGAGCATCCCAACAGCTGCTGGAACAAGGCAGGCAGGGGGAACTGGGATGGCTGGTGGCTGCTGCACTGTGGGTCAGGCTGGAAACCTTGGCAGTGAGGGGAGAAATGTTGAACAAAAGGGCTTTGGAAAGTTGTTTTGAGTTCTTCCCCTGAAAAGGCAGCTAAAGGGTGGTCACACATCACTTACTCTGCTGAGTAAGTTGTGTTGGAGGGTGGGAATCCTGCCCCTTTTTTCCTTCACAGCCCTCTTGTTCCCCGTGGGGGTGTGTTTGCAGGTGGCAGAGTTCATTGATGAACGTCCTGATGAGGTGAAGCTGATGGAGGAATTCCGAACAAACTCCAAGTGGAAACTTTTGGGAGGTGGGAGCAGACCATTCCACCCTTCCACCCTCCCACCCGAGCATTTGACTGCTCTAAACAGTGACGCAAGTTAGAAATGAATCCTTGAAACCCTGGAGGGCTCCTGAGCTGTGCAGAGCCCTAACAGTGGTGACTCTCATTGTCTTCCTCTAGACCAGAACGAGGATTCCCAGAGTTCGGATATTTCGGGACCTGCCAAGTCTGCCACGAGGTATGGGGGCTTCCACCAGGATTTCTGCTCTCAGTTCCCCCTGGTTTTGTCTGTCTGGTTCTGCAGTTTCCAAGTGCTTTGCTGTAAAGTGTGGGGAAGGTGTACACAGGACTCTTTCCTCCTGGGTAACTCTTGCCTGGAGGGGGCTGGCAGCTCCCTGGGTGTGTGACGTGGGGAACAGCTGTCCCATAGTGCTTCTGACAGTGCCAGGGAAATCAGGGTGATGATCCCTCTCGATTTGAGCGATGGTGAGGGTGGAGAACTGAAAATTCCAGCTGTCCTGCGATCCAGGCTCCTGGGAGGGTGTCTGGGGCGTGCTGTGGAGAGGCTGTGGCTCAGGGCTGCAGGGCACTATGTGAGTGCAGGTCACTGCTGTGAATTCACCTTCACAAAGCTGTTTCCAGCCTTGGCCCACTCCACAGCCCTGCAGGTTTTGTTTCCGAGCAAACCAAACACAGACTGAGCTCATTGTCTCCTTCTCCTGCCCTTGCCCTCCCAGGCGGCAGCGCCACGACTCCCCGGACCCTTCGCCAGCGAGGGGGGAGCACAACGGGCCCCTGGACCCCCCTGCCCCGAGACGGCAGCGCCACGACACCCCTGATCCATCACCTCCCAGGAGGAAACGTCAGGACACCCCTGATCCATCACCTCCCAGGAGGAAACGTCAGGACACCCCTGATCCATCCCCCCCAGGAGGAAACGTCAGGACACCCCTGATCCATCACCCCCAGGAGGAAACGCCACGACACCCTGATCCATCCCCTCCCAGGAGGAAACGTCAGGACACCCCTGATCCATCACCCCCCAGGAGGAAATGTCATGATACACCTGATCCATCACCCTCCCAGGAGGAAACGTCATGATACACCTGATCCATCCCCCCCTAGGAGGAAACGTCATGATACACCTGATCCATCCCCACCCAGGAGGAAACGTCAGGACACCCCTGATCCATCACCTCCCAGGAGGAAACGCCAGGACACCCCCGATCCATCACCTCCCAGGAGGAAACGCCACGACACCCCTGATCCCTCCCCTCCCAGAAGGAAGCGTCATGACACCCCTGATCCGTCACCTCCCAGAAAACAACGTCGTGACACCCCAGATCTGTCCCCTCCCAGGCGGCAGCAGCGTCACGACACGCCTGATCCATCCCCTCCCAGAAGGAAACGTCACGACACCCCTGATCCGTCACCTCCCAGAAGGAAACGTCATGACACCCCTGATCCCTCCCCTCCCAGAAGGAAACGTCACGACACCCCTGATCCCTCCCCTCCCCGGCGTCAGCGTCACGACACTCCAGACTCCTCACCCCCCCGGCGACAGCGTCGTGACACCCCGGACCTGTCCCCTCCCAGGAGGCAGCGTCACGACAGCCCTGACCCATCCCCTCGGAGAGACAAGCCCGGCTCACCCAGTCTGAAGAAGAGCCGAACGAAAGGTGAGCCTTTGGGATCAGGTGGGTCCTGTGGGTTGGTGCTCTGCAGGCATGGCAGGGATTCCCATTCCCTTGTATGGGATCATCAGATCTTCACACTCTGATCTGTCTCCTCCAGGACGGAGCTCTCCAGCTGGGAAGGGTCAGCACAGGTCACGGAGTCCCCGGACCACTCCCCGCATGCCAGGACACCAGGGGGTCTCCCAAGAAGGTAAGCATTGCCTTTTTCCTGTCCAGCTGGTTGTTTCTTCCTGTTATGGAAAACTGGAAGTCCAAGGACTGGCAAAGTGGGGAAGTTTTTGTACAATTGGCTTTAACGGGGCTGTCTCTGCTCTGTCCCTTGTGGTTTTGGGTGACCCCTTGTTAGACCTCCAGCTGAGTGCAGTGCTCTGAGCCAGCTTAAATGTGGGGTTTGATTTCCAGGCAAACACGATGTCATCTGGGGTCAGAGCTGGCTTGGTGTCAGCAGATGTGCTGCGGAAGGAGCAGCAGGAGCTCCAGAAGCCAGACAGGAGCATCAAGCACCTGGAAGGTAGGAATGTGGGAACGTGGCCTGATCCCCAGCTCACCTTCTCTTCTGCTTCAGCTGCTTTGGCTTTGGGTGACAGGCTCTTTGGGAGAGTAGGGCAAACAGAATGAAAGTTACAGTAATGGGATTGCGTGGAGGTGGTGAAATGTTCCAAAATGTGTGACTTGAGACATCTGTCCCCTCCAGAGGAATCCCGGAACGCCAAGACCGTGTTCCGAGACAAGTCCGGCCGCAAGAGGAACCTGGCACAGGAGCAGCTGGAGCAGAGGCTGAAGGCTGAAGCAGAGGCCAAGAGAGAAGAGCAATATGCCAAGTGGGGAAAAGGGTGAGGTGCTCCTGATGCTCCCCATCTCCTGCCTTTGGCCCAGTTTGGATCTTCATGTGCTGTAGACCCCTCAGTTGTTCCCTCTGTTGCTGCACACACAGTGGGAGTTCAGGAGCGTGGCACATCCTGCAAACTGAACAAGTCCTGGGGAATGAGTGCTTGGGTTTGGGTGAAACTCTGTGTTTTCCAGGCTGGCCCAGGAGAGGCAGCAGCAGCAGAACGTGGAAGATGCGATCAAAGAGATGCAGAAGCCCTTGGCCCGTTACATCGATGACCAGGATCTGGATCGAATGCTGAGGGAGCAAGAGAGGGAAGGAGACCCCATGGCTGCCCTCATCAAAAAAAGGAAGGCCAAGGAGAACAAGGAAAAAGGTTTGGCTCTGGAATTACACCTGTGTGTGATTTTAAGGCCTCAGCAGTGTAGAGAGGCAGCTGCTCTTCAGTAAATTGCTGGAACAGCCGAGTCCTGAGGGACTTCTCTGCAGTCTCTGGAGTTACTGGCTTGTTACCAGTAATGGTGACTGTGATTTCTTAGCTCAGAGCAGGATCTGGTGAGTTAAAACTCAGCAGCGTGCAGTTTGCTGAAGTGTGCCTTTGGGAGCTTCCTCTGGGAGCTGTCCCTGGCTGTCAGGTGGCCTGTGCACTCTGCCTGTGTGTACCTGCAGACACAAGAGCTCTTGGGTGGGTGAGGATGTGACCACCTGTTTGTGCTGAAAGCAGCTGTTCTGCTCTTTCTGTTCCAGAAAAACCCAGGTACAAGGGACCAGCACCTCCACTCAACAGGTTTAACATCTGGCCCGGGCATCGCTGGGACGGTGTGGACAGGTACTCGTTCCTGTTAAAATAGAGTAAAAATAAGTGAACTGTGCTTCAGAGTGGTCATAGTGTAAAGTTACTGGATCCAGTTACTGGATGAGTGAGGTTGTTGGCAGCTGGGAATTTGAATAGATTAAGTTACAAATGGGTGATGGGGCAGAGGGGACAAGGCTGGTGCTCTCAGGAGGGGTGTGAGGAACCTCTGAGGTGCATACTGTTGGTAACCACAGTAACCAGAGTGTGGAACACTTGTAGCATCTCTATCAAGCTTTGTGGCTTCAGAAAAGCCTCTGGCCAGCAGCTCCTGGTCACCTGGGTGTCCCTTTGCAGGTCCAACGGGTTTGAGCAGCAGCGCTTTGCCCGGATTGCCAACAAGAAGGCGGTGCAGGAACTCGCCTACAAGTGGAGTGTTGAGGACATGTAGGTGGGACAAGAACTGTGCAGAGCTCCTGCAGTGATCCCCTGGACATCACCTGCTGCCAAAGCTGTGAGGAATGGCCTGCTCTCCCTGGAACAAGCCCTGTCCTTGGCATTCACTATCCCAGTGGGCCATCTGAGAGGCAAGGCTGGATTTCCCTGTCAGCCGGGGACGAGCTCAGAGACCTGCAGGGGCCACTGCCTGCAGGAGCCCCCAGCTCTCTGTGGAAGACACTGGTTTCTGGTCCCTTTAGTTGTCTTCTAACAAACTCTTTTGTTCTATGCCAAATGCTTTGACCTCTGAGGGCGGTTCCCAAGTCTCAGGTGTCCTAAATCTCAGGTGAAAATGTGCCGAGCGCTTGGTCACGAGAGAGTTACACTCATGCAGTAGGTTGGCCTGCTCCAGAACTCAGCTTAAGTTTAGCTTCTGAACTTCTGCTGAGTTTCTGTAGTTATTGTACCCTGTAGATCCCAGAGTCACCACAGTGCAGTGAAGTTCAAACTCAGCTTCTCCTGGCCCTTTCCAAGCAGGAAAGTGAGCAGGGAATGCTCTGGCACTAGAAGAGCGACCTGCATTGGGCAGCAGGATCTTCTGGGGCGCCAGCAACTCTTTGGGGGGTCCATTTCTTGTGGAAGGAAATGTATGGAGAGTGGTTAAATTGCTTCCCTTATATTTTGGAGCAGCTGGTTCCCCCAGACCCTTCTGGACAGTGCTGATCTCGGCACTTCCCCCTCGCTGCTGCCTGGGGCTCCAGTGTGAAGTGTAACAACCCCTCTCCTGTGATCAGATTTGTCGGTCTCAGAGCTGGAGACCAGCCAGAGCTTCCCTTATTCCCTGCATGCCAGAGAGCACTTGTGGAAATAAATACAGTTGTTCTTGCTGAGGTCCCAGGGAGCAGGGATGGAATGCAGGCAGCAGTTTCCATGGAGATGCCTCGGCTGCAGCAGTGGCAGGGGCAGGGCAGGATCGCTCTTTTCAGGGATTCTCCAGCATTAGGAGGGCTGTGGGTGGGAGGGATAATGGCAAAATCTGCTCTGGAATGCCAGACTCCTGGGACTTCCCTTTTATTTTTTTTTTTATCCCTGTGTAACATTTCTAGCAGTCCTGGAATTGGTGTGTACACCTGTAAATAACACCTTTGTTTTTGTACGTGATTTTGTGTGGTGGTGGTTTTTCCAAGGTGGAGAAATCTTTCCCAGCCTGGGCCCTGTTGCAGCCTGTTGGGCAGGCTGGTTTGGGAGTGGGAGGTGATGGTGTGAGGTGGGGGCTCCCAGGGTTTTGTCATCCTGCTCAGTGTTTCCAGTTGTACTTCCCCCTTCTGTTTATCAAGGCCCTATTTTTTTTTGCCCCTGTAACCTGAGGCAGGTGCAGCCTTGACAAGTGCAGCTCCACTTCACACACACTCATTTTTGCTCTCGCTTATCAGAGTGCTGCTGGAAACGTAAAAAAACCTACTGTGAGATTGAGTTTGCCCTTGTGAGCAGAGTTGTCGCTCAGGTGGTTGCTGGTACCTTCCTCACCTGCTTGGTGACAGTGGCTGCTCTTGCAGAGCCACAGTCACAGCTGGCTCGTGTCATAGCTGGAATTATAAGCTGCTCTTAGGGCAGTAAAGCAATTTTAATGCTGGTACTAAAAAAAGTGTTGTGCTTAGGACCTGAAAGCAGTATCAAGTTCTGCTCTTGCAGCTGATTTTGAAAGCTGGGGTTTAAAACTTTTAGAGGTACTACCCTGGGGAACCTCCTCGTTCATCACAGTGCTGGGTTTATACATCTGTTTCATGTTTATTACCAGATATTTTACTTTGAGATGTATCTATGCAAAATGAGGGTATGGGGGAGCTCAGGTGAGGATCCTGTCCCCGTGTGCTGCCCAGGGAGCAGGGAGGCAGGTTTGTCCCCGTGCCCTTGCTCTGCATCCCACGTGCCCTGTCCCAGATGTGGCCTTGTCTGAGCCATTCTGGCAGCAGAGCAGTTGGAAAATGCTGCGAGATCCTCTGGGATGGGCAGGGTGATGGAGATGGAGGAGTGACACCGGGACGTGGATCTCTTCATTAGCGGTTCTGGAAGGGCAGAGCCCCCGCTCTTGGCATGGAGCAGCAGCTTTGATTAGCTTTAACCCAAAAAAATGAATATTAAAATCTTAATTTAATTTAAACCACTGTCATTCACAGTCATGGCAAACAGCGAGCAGAGTAATTATTATGCAAATGAGACAGATAGAAAAATGATTAATAATTGCGCAAATTAAAAATTATTGTAAACATCCTGTGACTAGTGATAAGTCGGGGAGGAGCGTGCGGGGGAGGCAGTGGGGCTCAGCCACCTCCTGCATCCCGATTCCCTCATTAGTGGGATCAGCTAATGAGGAGCCCAGGGGTGTTTGGGGGAAGCTGAGGCCTGGCTCCCGAGGGTGGGACAACAGGGCCGAGCTCAGAATCTGCTCCAGCTCCCGTCTTTACACTCTGTGACTCGGAGAAAAGCTGGGTTTAAGCTGTTTTCCTCCTTTTTGGAGTCCCTAAGGTCCTGACACGGCCTCTCTGTCCCTCTGGAGCGGGCACTGGCATCCCAGCAGCCTCCCCTGCCCATCCCCCAGACGGGCACCTGCTAATGACCCTCGGAGCTTCCCCCACCAATTAACAAGCTGATTTGTCTGGTGTTCTGCTGCTAATTGCACAACAGTACTTCTTCCCCGTTTTCCTTTTCTGCTTTTGCCAAGGAGCAGGATAATACCAGTAACAGGCTCTCCCTGGCTCAGGGGCTTCCATGGGCACTGCTCGTGTCAAGGACGAGCAATTAAGATTGGCCTCATGCATCGTAATTAGATTTTTGTTGATGAGCTCATGGTAATGTGTTTAGATTAAGAGCTTAATTCCTGGGGTGTGACACTGCCTGCCCCCTGGAGCCCTCTGCCCATGGGAGGGGGATCGGGGCTGGTTGGAGGGGTGGTCCTGGGCATGGCCACCCTGTGTCTGTCCTGCCCACCTGTCCTGTCACACCTGTCCCTGCGAATGTGGCTTCTCCCCCCCTGCCTGCCTTTTGGCTGTTGTTTTTTTAACAGCTCCAGCAAAGTGGGTTCTGGAAGTGCTGTGTTATTGCACCGTTTCCTGCTGAGTTCTATTATTTTTTAATTAAAAAGAGCCTGAGATTTGTCATTTAATTTCTCTCTAACTGGCAGCAGCTCCAGGTCGTGGGTGCTGGGAAGAGCTGGTGGCTCCCTAAATCGTCCCAGGCTTTCAGCACGGAGCTCTGGGGGAGGGTGCCACAGTGGGGTCCCCCCAGGGCACACCCACCCCCATTTCTTTTTGGAGGAGAAGAGTTTTTCCCGGCAACTGCCTCCCATGGCAGGGCTGGGAACGAAAATCCCCAAGACCGACAGGTTAGTGATTGTATATGCATATGTGCACTTTCCCTAATTATGGAATAATTAGGGACATGCAGAGATAAAAATTACTAATAATATTTACTCTAGACTCTATTTTTTTTCAATAACCTCTCTCTCTCTCTCTCTCTTCCTCCTTCACCGAGTCTTGGTGGAAATAACTTTGCAGATCCCAGTTAATGAATATTTGTAAATGCAAGAACATTCGGCGCCGGAATATCCAGAGGGCATCCTCTCTCAGCCTTGTAATTTTTTTTCACCAGATATTTAATATTTATGGTTCCACAGCCTCGTGAATAAAGAGCCACCCGCAAACCCCCAGGAGCTCGGGGGCCGGGATATTTATGGTGCTTCCTCTTTTCCTTTTCAATTACAAAGACACCTCACATAATTAAGTGCTAATAACCTTGTTAATCTAAAATTGATACTCTTTCTCCTGGCTATCTCTTAATAGAATTAAAAACAGATTAATAATCAAGGGTAGGAGACATGGCACGCAATCCAGGGAGAGGGGCCACGCTCCAGCCCCTCCCTGTGCTCCCGGGAGCTGGAGCAGGGCTGGGATGGGCAGCAATGGGAAAGGGGCTGGCAGGGAGATGTGTTTTCCCTCGTGCTCTTTACACAGCTTAAATTTTTAAGACAAACAGCCATGTAACACCATCTCCTAATGAAACTGTTTTATGTTAATTAATTATGTATCAAGGCTCATTTTCATGCGCAGCCCGGCTCCGCTTCCCCTCCGCTGAGCCTTTGATCTGTCAGAGGCTAAATGGGAGATAAATAATCAAATTGAGAAGCAGCCTGGATGGAAATAAACATGTTTTAGATGCGTTATCTGGCGGGTAGAGCAAGGCCCTGGGTAATCGGGCTCACGGTTCAGCCGCGCTCTGCTGCACACCCGGGGCCTGGGAAATTTCCCGTGCCTCAGTTTCCCTGCGGCCACCCCAGGGCACAGCACCGTGTCCCCACCATGGAATGGGGTCTGGAATGGGCCACCCCTGCCTCCCCCACAGTGTCTGCACATCCTCTCCAGCAGCAGGAGGGTGTGGAGGACCCCCTCTGCACCACACTGATAAAGAATTTAAACTGCAGCATTTCTTCTTTCCAGTCCATGGAAGATCCCAGCAGCTCCAGGCCACAACTGCTCCGTGCCCGGGGTAGTTGGGATGCTGGCAGTGGACACGGTTTCGGCATAATTTAACACAGTCCCTACCAATTTGTTACATCTAAGCAGAGGCAGATGTGCATCCATATTCATTCCGGAGGAACTTCAGGAATTACAACTTCATCAGCCAAGGCCGCCGCCAGCCCGAGCTCCTGTGCAGGAGGAGAAGGTGAGGATGGCAGTGCCCGGTCCCCTCAGCTGTGGGGACAGGGATGGCAGGGCTGACAACAGTGAGGTCCATGGCCACATCCCCAGTGACTGTGGCTGCTCCAGGGAATTCCGGCAGCGGTGCCCGAGGGCAGGACCCTCTGGCTGTTGGCACCTCTGGCCCTAGGGCTGCGTTGATGCCCTGCTGTAAACCAGGTGTTGGTCCAGCAGTAACTGTCCTACAGAAGGAATTGCAGGTTATAACAGTGGAGTGCTTTATGTCCGCAATGCCCCAGCAGTTGTTCTGGCCCGTGTGTAATTACCAGCTAACGAACGGATTTCCTCTTGAAGGGCCCTCCTCTGAGTGCTGCAGTGGATTAGGAGGGAGTTTATTGTATTGCAGCAGCTCCTCTTTGGGGTGTTTGGGTGGTGATGTGGTTGTTTTCTCTCCAGGTGCCGTGCCGGGACATTGGCCAAATCCAGCCCTGCTCAAGTGGCGTGCCAGGAGGTGCCCAGCCTAGAGGAGAGGAGCCCTGTTCCAGGCACAGGGCATGGAGACACCACATCCCCTCCCTGGCCAGCGCAGCTCCAGTGCTACAGGTGAGCACCCGCCACTTTCACCCGTGCCCCAGGTGGGCAGTGAGGAGGGAGCAGTGCTGGGCTCCCACGGGATGTCCTTGCTGGGATGCCAGCGTGTGTTCAGGTGGCTGTTCCAGGGTGCCATTGCAAATCCAGCCCTGGGGATGGTGCCCAGTGGGACCAGCTGGCACCACCCAGCCCTGGGCAGCCCGGCTGAGTGTGCCACCACCCCTCCAGGCCGCGGCTCCCGGCCCCACTGCCGCTGCTGGGGGGTGAAGCCGAGCAGGGAGCAAACAAAGGGAGCACTCAGAGAGCCTTGTCCCCTCCAGCCTTGCCCCGGGCCCTGCCTTTGGGCTTCTCAAGGCTTTGCTCCAGCGGTGTCAGTTCTCATTAATCCACACATCAAAGCTGGGGCTGCCAAACATCCTGGAGAGATTGTGTGGGGTTCCTCAGTGGCGTGGCGGGCGGGGAGGCAGAGGGGCAGCTGTGCAGGGCGCTCAGGGAAAGGTGGGGGGGGCTCCAATGCTCTGGCTCGTGCCCACGGACTCCCTCAGGAGTCCTGAGCTGCCAGGGCTGCATAGTGTGGGATGTCCCTGGACAAGAGACAACTGGACGTGGCACTCAGTGCTCTGGTTTAGTTGACAAGGTGGTGATCGGTCCAAGGCTGGACTTGGAGATCTTTTCCAACTTGTTCCAATTGTTTCTGTGATTCTGTGAAGGGAAGACCCTCCTGCAGCAAGATCTCCCACGTGTGTCACGTGTGCAAGCAAGGAAAAGAGGTTTAGCAGGAAAACACACACAGAAAACCCTACAGAAGGTGCTCCTGTGCACTGGAGAGTGGGATTTGCCCGCCAAGGTCCTCTCTGAGCTGCTGTCAGTGCAGACTGGGATTCCCTGCTCGGCTCTAGCGTGGCTCAGCATTCCTCGAGCTGAGCTAATCAGGTCAATGCATTTTTAACAGGGCATAGGAAATCTTTATATTTTTTGTCAGGCTCATTCTTCTCCCTCGTCTCTCTGTAGGGGCTGAATTATTTAATGCTGAATATCAAGCAGAGCTGGTTTCCCTTTGCCAGGTGCTGACGGTGCAGTTTCGGGCTGCTGAGATTGGCAGGGGCTGCGCTTTGAGCTGGGCCAAGGGGGAACCCATTGTAGCAAGCAGATTACCTACTTCCAGCTGGAATTACAGAGCAGCTTGTGTCCCCTTTCCTGGCAGTGGAACAAGAGGGATAGAGTTGGATAAGGGATGAGCAGCCAGTGCCAGGACTGGGTGCTCACAAACAGCGCCGTTCCCAATTTTCCTGAACCAAATCCTAACCTGTCTCCTGGAGTTTGGGTGTTGATTTCCATCCTGGGAAAGGGCTGGAAGAGCAGAGCAGGACACCAGGGGATCTGGCAGCCTTGCCCTAGCAGCTCCCTGGTTTGTGGTGTGTCTCTGATGGGGCTGGCAGTGCCCACCCGTGATGCCCGTCGTGACGGGCAGGGGTGGCCCAGAATGGGGTGACAGGCAAGGATCACCCGCAGGGCACACAGACACAAAAGGCTGGTTTGTGTATCGGGGTTTATCTTTCCCATTAATGGCTTTCTAAATTGGTGGCAGTGGAGCAAAAAACCCAATCTGAACTCGGAGCATGCATGATTACTATTGTAATAACCTTGGCTAATAAGAATATGATGTGGTGTTAGGCTGGGAAAGAAAACACATTTCTCATTAGCTTTTTGATTAATTACTCCACATAATTTCCTAGGGGGACATGCCTGGGACTGATTGCCTTTGCTTTTGACGCGTGGAAGTGGTTTACCTTAACTTAATAATTTTCTTGGTGACATTTTAATGGCAGGCCTCAATTAATCTCCAGTTGCTGGGTGGAGGGCAGGCCTCTCTAGGGGTTCAGAGTACCACCTTTGCCCACCCTTCTGTGGGGCAGGGCAGAGGATTTGCCTGAAGGTGAGCAATGCTCCATAGGCAGTTTGGGCTCCAAGATCCTGGTCCTCCTTTCCCTGCCCCTTCCTGGTCATGCTTGGCCTCCCAGGGCTTTAAATACCTGGGAATGCAACAGCTGTGCAGCCCCATCCTCACCCAGCACAGCCAGGGATCCAGCTGTTCAGAGGCATATGTTTACATGGCTTGGAAGCGACCGATTTCCTTCCGTGCGTTATAACATAAATATTTTACAGGAGCTAAAATATTCAACGCTCGTTTGATGTTGCCACATGGAGTGGGATCAAATGAGGGTGGGAAGGAGGGGAAAACAGGAGAGGGGAGCAAGAAGAGACTCATTTGTTTCCCTGCCTGAAAGTGGAATGATGCTGCATGTTTCTGCGTCGGGAAATTACCCAGCACAGCGATCTCTGCTCGCTGCTCCGGGCGCAGGTGCTTGGCTGGCACCGCTGTGGCACCACACAGAGCCACGTCCAATGTGGCTGTGGGGGTAGTGCCAGCGTGGGAACTGTCCCAGTGGCACATCCTGCACCTGGGATGTGCATCCCGCATCCCAGGTGCATCCAAAATCCCTCCCTACGCTCTCCAGCCAAGCCTGTGCTCTATACCAGCATTAAAACATTGGCAGGTCCAGCCAAATCCCCCCTAAACGAAATATCAGTGTAATTCCAGGTCTCACCCTGCTATCCTGGCACTTCTGGGGGTGCTGCCTTGGTGCTGCCCTGGGGGCAGCTGCCTGCTCTGCCCGTGCCAGGGCTGCAGGATGGAGGGAGCGAGGCAGGTGGGTGCAAATCCTCAGGAGCAGGGATGCAGCCGCAGGCTGAGGAGCAGAGGGAAGCTGCTGCCCTGCACACTCGGATCCACTCCTGCCAGCTCTGTGGGAGCAGGATTTGCTGGGCCAGCCGGGCTGGGAGCTGTGAAGCCAGGCCGAGCTCAGCCGAGCGTGCAGGGAGGATAGACGGGATTACCGCCCAAATCCTGCTCCTCCTGCTCCAAGGCTGCAGCTGCCTCCTCCCACAGCACAGCCTGGGGGCCCAGGAGCAGCCCAAAAGGCACTGCCAAAGGTCTCTGCAGAAGCCCTGGGGGCTCTGTCTGGTGGGTGGGCACGGCCAGGCAGCACCCCCGGGCACACTGGCCCCGCGGCAGGTGCTGACCGGGAGGAGAAGCGCCAGAGATATTTATGTTCCCATCCAAATGCATGGATCAAAGCTGACACTTTAATCTATTCAACAACATCTCAAGGATAAAAAAGTTGCAGGCAAATCACGGGCCTAAATTGGTAATATATTTTTGCTTGTCAGTTGACAAATCACTTTACAAACCCCTTCTGCATCTTCCTGTGGTTCCCTGGGTGTGCCAGGTTGGGAAGTGCCAGCTTTCAGCCCCTGTGTCCCGGGATTTGTGCCACGCTCCTGCTTGTGGGAGATGCTCAGCGCAGCACAGAGTTGGGGCTGCTGGTACTTAGATTTTGTCTCTGGCCCAAAGTGTTTCTTTCTGTTACTCACATTTTACTTCTCTTCATGGCCATAAGGGTGGCTGGAGACACAGCTGTCCCAGCCCACCGTGATGGCCATGGCACAGCATCCCTGTGGATGCAGTCCAGGCTCCAGTGGAACAGCAAAGGAGTCCCTGCCAGACACAGTTTGGAGCAGAGGGATCCAGCAGGGAGGTGGCACTCAGTGCCAAGGGGTTTTTCTGCCTTGACTTCTTTTTATTGAGTTTCTTTTTCTCTTCTTTCTCTCTTCTGGCCAGTGCCAGGCCGAGTTGATGAATTATCCCAATATATATTCTGTCTGGAAAGAAAACACATATCATATATATCTTTGACAAGTTATTATTCTTCCTTATCAGAATATGTGTGCATCCAGCCACGCCATAACTCACCCTCCGTGTTGCTCCTGTAACCAGGCGGGAGGAGCACGGCAGCTCTGGCTGATCCCGTGTTCCCACGATGGCCCTGGCTGGGTGACCCCCCCGTCCGGGTGTGCTGGGGTTGGGAAGACAGGCAGGGAGCATCGTGTGCCTCCACCGCCTGCCAGCGGGGGGGGCCTGGGCGGAGGCGAGAGCATCACGTCGAGCTAATTCGGCGCCTGCCTCACCTCCAGCTGATTGCTGCAAATTAAATTTCACGCCACTGAGCCGGAGGAGCCGGCGTGCGGCGCGGGAAGAGGGGTGGATGGTGGAGGCAATCTGCAGTGAGCTGGCACAGCCTCCTGCGCTGGCCTGGGGGGCACACAGGGTGCCTGTCCATGCCTGGTGCTTCCCGGGCATCCCCAGCCGGGTTGTGTCCCCCTGTGCTGGTCCTGAGCCCCTCCACAGCCTGGCGCGGTGCTGCCCTGTGCCCCCGTCCTGCCTGTGCAGGGGATGCGCCAGGGGTTGGGTGAAAATCAGTTCACAGACGACTGAGCAAACACGTCTGGTTGTTCCTCTCTGGAATGACAGGTTCGGACTCTGGAATGAAGCGCAGCGGGAGACCAGCTCTGCCTGGGCCTCAGGAGTGAGGAATGACGGGCAGCATGGCATGGAGCCGGCCCCAGGGGTGCTCGGGGTGCAGGGTGGGCTCCCCGAGGGCGGGAGGTGTGGGGATCCCTGCCGGTTGCCCAGGTGTGCTGTGCGTGCCTGGATGCACGGCTGGGAGCAGCAGGAGCCCTCCCATCCCCGCTGTAGTGCCTTTAATGTTTGACTTATTAAGATAATAACTGCTCCATCTCCGCCGGTTTGAAACGCGATCTAATAGGAATCTTACAACAAAAGTTGCCAAGCAGCCAGGCCAGGATTTACTAATAGACTCCGAGCGTGCTGTAACTGAGATGGAAATTAATTTAGTGATTAGGAGATTAATATATGGAGCAGAGCATATCCTTGCCTTTAAAGGCTGGGAGGAAGCGCTGGGATGAGGCATTCCCGTGGTGCCTTCACGGAAGGGGTTCAACTCTTTAATCTCAGCGCTTCCTTCCAGGCTCCGGGGCGAGGCTGCGGGAGAAGCTGTGCTGCCTCGTTTTCTATTAAATCCCGTTTCCTTCCCCAGGTGTTTGTTAGCATTCTTTTGTCTTCACAGACACCTGAGTCTAGCATTTGGGGG